TAATCGTTTGATAATGGATTGAATTTAATTTCAATTTAATCAAGGAATAGAAAGGAGTGAATAGCTTGGACCATGTATCAACCGTCCATCTCCGGTAGAAGGTTCCGTAGGAACAATTCTATATTCCAAATTTCAGGATACCTCATTCCTGAAAATAAAGAGGAAGTGTGAGTAGAAATGGCAAATTTATAGGGGTATTTTGGTCAATTTATATTTTACGAATTATTTTTTCATATTTTTATTAAATGCGTCTCACTAAGATGTATACATGCTTCAAATTTCAAGTAATTTAGATTCGTAGAAAAAAATAAAAATTGAAACACTACCGAACAACTATAACCGTGCGATAAAGTTTGAATGGTGAAGAGCTATACATGTTGGGAAGAGTTTTCCTATATATATATAGAGAGAGAGAGACCTTGGAATGACAACTTGATAATAAAGGAGAGCCTGAGAGAGGGGACTCATTGTTTAACATATTAGAGCTAGTTTTAATGTTGGATGATAATAAGACAAATTTCAAACAGAAAAACAAACAGTGAGTGATTTTCCATTATTAAATTCAAAAGAGTTTGTTTTTCCATTATTAAATTCAAAAGAGATAAGGATAGTAAGTACAATGCCACTTAGAAGGTGAAGTCCTTCCAAAGAGCCCAGCCCAATTTTCAAATTCTATCACATATTCACAAGAATATGTGATTTGTATTCCCATCTGAATCTCCTCTAACAATCCCACAGTCACTCCTAAACTGCAGCAAGATAACTCATTTACATTCAATGTACAAGGTACCCACAGGAACTCCTGTGCTATAATCGGAAACTTCACTTAAATGCAATGTACAATAATAGTTGATCCTTACAGTCCATCCTAATCTCCTATAACAGTCTCACAATTATCCTTAACTACAATTTGGAACTTCATCTAAATACAATGTATTCAGAATTCAATTACCACCGCACGACACATAGTAATCCTGAAAGACATGGCCATCCATTTATTTGAAGTCCAATCACATCTCAGCTCTATTTATAAGAGAATAAAAAACAAACACCAATATATTCTGAACACTACATGTTACTTACTTCATCCATTTCACCATATTTAGACATTTGAATTCCAAAAAACAAGAGGGCATATATTTATTAGAACAATTCACAAATAATATACTGGGAAAATCTAACATTTGAAACAAACTGGTAGAATCACGGAGATTGGTTGTTGATCATATGGACAAGGACAATAGAGAAGAACCATGCAAAGAAACGGAAACATAGAGATAGAAAATGGAGAGAGAAAGAGGTACAAAGAGAAGAGTTTTGTGTTGATTTTTTTTCTTTAAAGCTTTTGTGCAATATATATGCAGATCTTAGACTGGATGGTCTTTGTTTTTTTCTAAACGGTCTTTTTTTTTTTCAAACAGTCTTGAATTAATAACATGTAGTTGTACATGAGAACCCCACATTTGCATTATAAAACATCTCTATAAATATGCATAATAATTTTCAATAGTGTTTCTAGAATTGTTTTAAATTTCAGAGTGTAAACTCAGTATTGGAAAAGGACTTCTTAAATTCCAAGGGGTGCACTCAATACTAAAGATATATCAGAAAAATCAGAGTTACCTTACTGGTTTTTCAAAGGGAATAAAAAACTCTCCTTGTACTATATCTTTGATTTGTACAAGGTCGACCGCAACTGGTTCAAATCTCCCAACCTTTTTAACATTAATATCCATTCGATTTAAAAAATCTTCTCTATGGCATTGCTCACAGCTTTTGAATCACCGACCTGCCCTTTTAAATCGTCTAGAGGAGTATCATCATCATTGTCTGAGCCTTTTCCCAACTTTTTGGAGTCGGCTAGGAGTATCTCATGAGCAATTCACCACATTCTCCAAGCCTTTGAAAGACTTAGTTGGCGAGCTTCTGAATGGCGGGTCCAGATTCAAGCCTATGCTCAGTACTGAGGTTGGAACCATTGATTTTGTATGGTAGATCTGGACCCAGCTCAAAGCATTTTACTAGCTTTTCAGTCTCAATCCAACAAATTCTACCTTTGCCTCGCCAAATTTCTCAGTCTAACTCTGTGAAATTTCTTTCAATCCAAGCCGACCCAATTCTTAAAAGTCAGAGCTTCTTCCCTCCTCTTGTACTGAGCCTCTGTCTGAAACTTGGAACCCTTCTTGTTCTTATATAAAGTTTTGTGATACTTTAAACACAGTTGCCTATACTTGTACTTGTCAATAAACATCCCCTCTCTCTCCATCAAATTAATGACCTCATTGGCCCTTTGGAAAAAACCACCTCTAACGAAGTTATACAACAAAGAATCCAAAAGCTCCTGGTCGAATTTCAATGGAGATGAACTAGATATCACTTTCATCACACCCCAAAGTTCTGTTATCTCATGGTACTTACCTCCAATGGCTGAGTAACCAGTAACCAGAGAATGGAAAGTCTGGGCATTGGGCTTGTGGCCTAAAGCCACCATCTTTTTAAATGCCTTCTGAGCATCAGGCATCAACCCTTTCTTGCAAAAGAAATGTATCACATGGTTCCAATCGATCACACCACAATCTGCTCCTTGTTCGCTTTTGATCTCCTCCAATAACTTGGCCATGAGCTTTGGCTCCCCATTTCCCTCACACCCCTTTACTAAACTCTCAAACCCATGATGGGTGGAAGGTGAAATATTCGCTTCCTTCATCACTTTGTACAATTTGTTGGCCCCTTTTGCATCTCGCTGCAAAACCCGGGATTGTATTAGAGCTTCATAGCAGCTCGCATCTAATTGGACACCACACTTTTGGGCATCTCGTAGAAGCGAGCCAACCTCGTTGGGTCGGTTAGCTTTACAATAGGCTTTTAGCAGTGACGAGTAAACCAAAGAGCCTGTTTTGAGTCCACTAAGTCTCATCTCATCAAGAAGGTCATGGGCTTGGTCGAGGAAACCGAGAGCTATGCATGTGTTTATCACTTGAACCATAAAAGAGCTATCAGGTGAGGCTGGACCTTCTTCCATATCAGCCTCAATAAGAAGCTCAGCCAAATCAGTAATCTTTTCTACCTCCAAAAAGGCCTTCACGAGTTTGGCACACATCTTCTCAGTAGGATACAGGATACCGTCTTGGGTTCTCACCAGTTCAACTCGGTTTTGCAACTGAGCTGAGAAAGAGTCAAGAAGCTCCTTTGCCTCAGCTTGAATTCTTAAGAAATTCTGGTCCTTTATAAACTCCATGATAGATAAAGCTGGACCTTCAAATAGCCGAACAGAACTGATAACTCGATTCTCGTCATGTTCTTTAGGGAGGAGACGTTTGGGTTTCTGAGCTGCAATGGCTTCCACCACTGATTGGGCAGTGGCTAAGGAGGTCTGAGCCTTCTTGGCCCTCCGAAGAATTTCTAAAACCAACTCAGTTGCAGCACCCAAGTCCCCAAAATTCAGTAGGCATGCGAGGTAACAGTTGTAGAATTGCTGGTATTGAAAATCACCCAAGCCACAGGCCTCATTAATATGCCTCCTAAGTTTCTTAATCTCATCTATCCTCCCATTCTTTTCATATATGTGTGCAATTGTGATAAGCAAGGAGGCATCCGGCTTCACCCCAATTCGTGGAATCAGTTCAAGAAGCTGCTCAGCCTTTCTGGCAAACCCATATACAAGAGAACCCATCAAAGAAATATTAAAAGCGAAAGTATTGGGTTTCATAGAGAGAAGGATACTATTACTTTTCTTTCTGGGATCCACCCTATTGTCCTTGAAGAAGTGGCCAAGCTCAAGAACTATCTCAGCAGCAAGAAAAGCACCAGGAGCTGTTCGAGACATGTGGGCTATGACCCCAAGCCAAGCATCAACAGGTGGGTATTCCTCTACTTGTACCATTTTCCTCAAGATGGTTGATGCCTGAACTGGCAGTCCAGCCCTTGCAGCAATAAATGATAGAAATATCAAAGACTCTTTATGCAACAGTTCATGTTTACCCTCGCCGAAAGCCATTTCTACCAGACTGTAAGCTTTATCGACCCATTGCAGAACACCACTCTCTGCTAAACTAGCTATGAGCTTATTTAGCACTGATTTTCTTGGGAACCCTTCCATCTGTTTGTATCGCTTAAAAGCCTTCCAAGCATCATCAAATCTTTTTTCATCAACAGCATCAGAGAGCTCTAGAGCTAATTGAGATGGGTTTTGAGCTTGAACAAGAATGGACTCTGCCATTGTAGAGTATAGACGATGGGAAAGATGAATCTCGGTGAACCCATATTCATAAATTGAAGCACCATTTCCTTTACTTAAGATGCACATAGTGGAGGGTGCATATTGATGAGAGAAAGTGTTGGAAATCACATAAGCAAAAGATTTGTAGTAAAAAGAACTTGCAGTGATGCTGGGCTTATCACCGGGCAAGGAGAATAAGTTAGCTGAAATTCGAGAAGTGAGTTGATATCTCAGGCTTCTAATTACCGTTGAATTAAACATAAGCCAAAAAATCCAACGACCATGAAAATGGAGCATCTGAAAGAGGAGATAAAAACTGAGGCTTATGGATTCACCACTGCAATGAACAAGGCTGCAAAATATGTCATCATGACATCTACATGATGTCCCAAGCTGAGGCTTATGGATTCATCACTGCAATGAACAAGGCTGCAAAATATGTCACCCTGACATCTACGTGATGTCCCTCATTACATTTCTGTACTCTTATTGCTCCAGTAAATTTGCCTATCAAGAACAAAGGTTATCATGAAGTTAAAAATAACGGAGAAAAATTACATAGAAATGGACGTGTATCTGAAGATGAAAATTAGATAGAAATACATATGCATCTGAAAGGGAAAACGAACTGCTATTAATCCTAGAGAAGGGAATAAATTCCAATCAATACAAGACAGACATTTGTGTTTCAATAAAAAAATCTCAATCATTTGATGTAAAATAATAACTCAATGAATCAAATATGAACTGTAATTTCTCCCAATAACTAATAACTAAATGAATCAAACATGAACTCTCAGCCAAGCTCGTGAAACAGAACTTTGTGCAGAGACTAGCTATTATGAACAGGCAAAGGAAAATAACCAACTCAGCTATCATGTTAAAAAATGGGGTAGACGATGACCCTCCAAAATGTCTACTGGAACGTTTTCATTATACCCAACTAATGGAGGTGGTGAACAATATAATTTACACAGCTTTCAATAGATGATATTTGGACACATCCATCTATAAAACCAGTTAGTGGTTGAACTTTTGGTTCTCAATAAAACCACACTCTCAAGTCTCAATCTATCCTATGTTCCACCATTACTGCATCAAGTCTCTAAACTCAAACCAGACAGACATTAAAACAAACACATTTGGGTCTCCTTTAATACCCCATCAAAATACACGACTGAGAAAGATAGTTCACATGTAGAGGAATATGACACACTACATTCAACTGGTTTCTAGTAATGTGAACAAAGTTCAAATTTATGGGAGGTAAAGCAGAGCAAGTTCTTGGATAATGTTAGTGAAAAGGAAAAAAATTCCCATTTTTCATCAAATAAAAGGGAGAAATTACAGTATTTTATTCATCCAATAAGGTAAAAAAGGAAGACATTTTTTATTCATCGGATAAGGTAAAAAAGGAAGACGCAAAATTAAAGTGGGACTAAAGCTAGAAAATACTTAGCATGAGACACAAAATTACAGTGACATAATTAGCAGTGATGTTTTTAAAGAATATGCAACTTCCTCACAAGATTTCCAGACAGAAAGAAATTCAGCCATATCTTATCATCTTGAAGAATGGTGTATCAATTTTTCTGTCTTGAAATATATCAGAGAGAGAGAGAGATCCAATGCTCTGCCTCTGAAGTCTGAATACGGCAGAACCCATTAAGATGTGGAGATGGGAAATCAGAGAAAGAGAGAGAGATGCAATGCTCTGCCTCTGAAGTCTGAAAAGGGCAGAACCCATACAGATGTGGAGATGGGAAATTGATGGTGTTAATATATATATCTTTTGAAGAAGAAAGATTATGTAGAAACTAACCCTAAACCAAGTTCAAGAGTGTGGCTTTAAATTTCTGGTTTGAAGCTCACCAAATAGGATATATTCAAATCAACGAAACGAATTTTCCAAGTATTAATTTTCAAGATTGAAATCGTCTGGAAATATATACATGCGCCCATATGTATCAATCTCTAACACATGCAAGATTTTTCAACACCAAAGATAATATATACATGCGCCCCTATGTACCAATCACATGTTTGTAGTACAACTGGCAAATAGCAGTATAAAAAGCAATACCAATCCTTAAATTAAGATTTTCAAAAACAAATCAGAAGTAAAACAAAAACGGAATCGTTATATCCATGGGAAAATTGAAATGAAAAGAATATTCAAGCCACTTCAAAAACTTACAATCTCTCAACCAAGTTGCAGAAAATTAAAGGAAGAAGAACCCACAATTATTGACACAAAAGAGTAACAAAACAATAGATATCTCTCACTTAAAATAGCAGTTTGAATTCCACATAAAGCGCTGATTTTCACAATAAAATTATACAGTTCGTATAAAACCCCACCTATTTTCTTTCTCCTTTGTTGCAGGTTTAAACCACAATACCTCAGCTGAGTTACCTCTATCTTGAACCTGAGAGAAAAACAGGAAAAATCCACACTTTTGATTTTTAACGTGAGACAGAGGGACCAATCCGCGCCTAATGTTTTGAGGCCATTTACCTTTACCAATTAATCTTGACAACTTGATGGTCGCATTTATTTCATTTACCAACTCAAAAGTTCAAAAAAAACAAAACAATTTTGAATTTTATGACCCAACCATGCTATTGATTTCACATGGATAGTTGTACGTAATTGTGACATTTATGTACCAAATATAATAATCTCATTCTATAAAATCTCATTCATGTTTTTTTGGGGTGATATTCAAAAGGTTAAGAGGCTTATTTTTTTGTTTAGATATCTATATAATTATTGATTATAATAAATAATATAAAAAAAATTATATAACGTTGCAATATTCAAATGTAAAAGTAAAGATGCACTAAAAAAATCTATCGAAAAAAAGTTGTTTTTCAATTAAAAAAGTTCAACTACTTAGACTTATTTCTTTGTTTGGATGTCTACATAATCATTGATTATAATAAATAATATAAGGAAAAAGTTTATGTAATGTTGCAACATTCAGGTGTAGAAGTAAAGATGCACCTCAAAAATCTATCGAAAAAAATTGTTTTAATATTGAAAAACCCTCTAATTGATCATCTCAACATCGAAATACATGAATATCAATAAATAAATAAAATTGAGTCCAAAAAATAGTGCATATTGTAACACATTATCTAGACCGTCCATTTTCAAGATTTTCATATCTTTATTGATCTACTTGATTTTAATCATTTTTGGAGTTTAAAATTTTATAATTAGAAATGAAAATAGATTTTTAGATAATCTTAAGAATTTTTTACACCAAAATTATACGTTATGATAAAATTTAGAGGTGCGCCTTAATTGGATTGTTCAAAGTTGAAACTTTATATAAACCATACCCATACTTTTAATATTACATCAAAATGATTAAAAAATATTAATAAATCCTTCCATATTATAAGATTAAAAATAATAATACCCTTTATAAAATGAAATTAGTATCACATCAAACATGTATTAATTCTCTTTATTCATCCAAAATTATCATAAGCTAACTATAATGTTATATGATTGTCGACAACAAAGACCTTGTCCATTAGATTTCTAAATGGGTAGTTGTAAGAGTGCTATTGATTAAACATAAAGTTTCAAAACATATATTTTCAGATTTACCCCAAACCATCAAATTTGACATTTAATGAGTGGGAATAGTTTGTCACCTCATTGTACAAAAGGTATGGTCTCTTTGTAGACAGTCTCATATATTATATACTAGAATTGGAATTATTGGATTATATTTTATAATTGTTTTAGTGTATAAATAAAATAAATTTAACTTTGTCTTATAATATCATGTATTTAAAAAATATTAATTAAAAATAGCTTATAAATTTCAATGTTATAACTTATGACGTCAAAAAAATATTTAAAAAAAGTTTTTTCTCTTAAAAATAGAATATAATGATATCAAATTTTTAAAAATAATAAAATATCAAATTATACACCATATACATCAATGAACCATATCCATAAGCTCCAAATATATTAGAAAAAATTAAATTTCACAACACGATTTCCCAAAATCCCTAAAACCGCTTCACATGAATGGCCCAAACTCCATGCTCATTTATATTTCTATCCATTGCAATGGATCTGTAACATGAATACATGTTGACTACGCTCATTCTAAATCAAATTTCAATAATTTTGATTTAAATTTCTGGAAGAGCATATTTGTATGGCGGAATCCTAAAATTTGTGGTACATTTATGAAGAAAAAGAATTATGAAATGAAAAATAAATGTACCTGATTTATATGAGAATTAAATCTCTATAGATCATATATCCCACTGAAACTGGGGCAAAATTGACCCAAATCTACAACTTTTGGTCGATTATTAAAATTTCAAGAACTCTTCGATTTATTGCCTTTGGAAGCAAAATCGATTGGGAGTAGTAGTTTAATCGAACAAATTTGAACAAGAATACTATACAGCATTCAATTATCTAAAAAAAGAAACAAATTTTTAAAAATTTAATTTTCCAAATCGATGCGAAAATCTCAAGAATGCGGATTTGTTCTAAACCTTCAAAAAACCCATTTTTTCCAATCCACAAATCTCAAATTGTTAGCGATTGATTTGAGTATAGATTCTATAACCATTTTTCGTTGATTTGCTAGCAATAATTCTCTAAAAAAAGTATTGCGAGTTGATAAAAAATCTACCAAACAATGAAAACCCGTGCACAAAGTGCATTGTACACGGTTGAAAAGTGGAATCGTCAATTCCGCTATAGAGAATCGGTGATACACTACAACGGAATCGCCGATTCTAGGAAGGGTGACACGGCCTGTTCCCAATAGAATGCGGGAACCAGTTCAGGTAAGACAATTCTCGATCCAAATAATAATGGATCGGGAGACTTCGATCCAAATAAGAATGGATTGGGGGATTTCGATCCAAATCGGGGATACCTTGGTTGTATGTGTCAGGGAATGCATTCTTATACTTAGGTCCCCAAGGCATAAAACATCAATTTTTAAGAAAAATGCGAATGGGTAGTCCATACAAAAAAAATTAAAATCAATAGTTTAAATATTTACTTCATGAAGATTATTATTTTCAGTTTTTTAAATTTATTACTTTTATATGTGGAAAATGATCTAATGTAATGGTTATATAGTAGTATAATGCAATCACACATCTAGAAAACCTTATTGTTGACATTTATATGACCCAAAAATTTGCACACACAGTTTCTTCATCCTCAAAATCAATCTTATGAAAAACAAATTTCAATTTGCACCCTAGATATGGTCAAAATTAGTACCTATCCAACAATGAATCTTGACCATCGATTTGGTGAATTTGAAGATCTAGGCCTTAAAAATTCAAACTCACTTTTTTTCTTTTTTAGCATTATTAATCTAATGGTGATAACTCTATACAAAATTTTTGGGAGTAAAAAAAATCCTTTTTAAGGCTTGAATCTAACCATCTCAATAAAATGGTTGGGCTAGAATGAAAACTTTTTAGAGTATTTTTTCAAAATTTTCCTTTTTGTACTTGTTCTTCATAATGAAAAAAGTGTACATTTAAAAATTATTGTTAAACAAATATCTCTAACATGATTTTTTAAGTTGGTTGCATTATACTACTATACAACCGTTGCTTAAATCATTCCCCTACAAAGTTACCTTTGGGCAAATACACTTTAACTTAGAATAAAGATAAATAAAAAAAGACATATACTCCATTCTTTATAATTTTAACATTAAATAAACCATAACTCCAAGTTAAAAGAAAATGACATTTAATTTCCCACAGACCTTTTCATTTTTCATATTATAATATTTAAATGCTCTCCCTCTCTCTCATGTTAATTTCCTATATACTTCATTCATATTATAATATTTAAAATTTAGACATGGACAATGGTTTAATAGGGCTGCAACCTTACCAAAGTAAGTGAAGCCTCTCCTCATAACTGAGTGGAAAATGCAATTCAAGCATTGAAAAAGCTTGATATCGATCATCTCAGCTTGAACATTATGCTTGAGAAAATAAATTAGGATTTTAAACTCTAAAAATGGTGTATATTACAATAAATTATCTAGACTATCCATTCCGCTATAAAAATAAATGTTTATAGATCCACAAGATTTGTGTCATTTTTTAAGTTTCAAATGTTACTGTCAGTCTTTAAAATTGATTTTAGAGCCATCTTGGAGATTTACAACAACAAAAAATGCTTTCCAGACAAAGATTTGAGATAGGTTTTTTTTTTTTTTGTTCTCATAAATCCTAGGCCTTATGGAAACTTATTTTTTTAGATATCGTTGGATTTTCCATTCTAGATTGTTGATAAAGAGACCATTTATCTTTGTATGCAATTTGTATAGAACCGAGGCTCTAAACAATCAAATAAGAGCACACCTTCAAATAGTATCAAGAAATGTGTTTTTAATATTGGAAATCTCTGTGATAGCCTTAAACTATATTTTCACATCTAATTATAAATTTTAAAGCTTAAAACCTAGTGTAGATGGAGTAGATCGATGAAAAAATATTGAAAATTGATAATCTAAAAATGCATTACAGGATGTACTATTTTCAAAACTTGAAATGTATTTTTTTCGTATGTCTATGCATCTTGATGTCGAGATGATCAATTTGAAGATATTTAAACATCAAAACGATTTTTTATAGTGAAATTTTTGATGTGTGCTCTAACTTTGATTGTTTAGAGCGTCAGCTTCATATGAATTAATTTTTTTATTTTTTATTCATGGTGTGTGATCATCATTAGATATTGAATTGGATCGCTTGGTGTGAGACATAAATTCGGATAATTTTTTTAAAAACTTTGTGTAAAATCGAAAATCCTGTGGAAGCGCCCTTTCGCCATCCGCGAAAGCCAACGGATTTGAAACATTGAGAAAGCACAAGCCCGCGAAATGTAAAAAGCACACCGCGCGACCAATCAAATTTCGCCAAATCAATCCCGCGGCTTGGAATCTCCAGATCCCATTAACTCGGATTGACCCGAAATCGTCCGGCTCAAACTAACAGCGAAAGTCACAGAGGAGGTATTTATAAATGTATCCGCACGCGTTCGATTCCAGCAGTCGCGTTTCGGTGTCCGAGTGAAGGAGTTCTCGAGCGAGCGAGAGAGAGAGAGAGAGAGAGAGAGAGAGAGAGATTTGTTGGGTAAAGTTTTAGAGAGAGAAGGGTAGCATTTTTTTAGAGAGAGAAAATGTCAGGAAGAGGAAAGGGCGGAAAGGGGCTGGGCAAGGGAGGAGCGAAGAGACACAGGAAGGTGCTTCGCGATAACATTCAGGGAATCACTAAGCCTGCAATTCGCCGCTTGGCTCGAAGGGGAGGAGTGAAGCGTATCAGTGGTCTCATCTATGAAGAAACCAGAGGCGTTCTCAAGATCTTCCTTGAAAACGTTATCAGAGATGCCGTTACCTACACTGAGCATGCTCGCAGGAAGACTGTGACTGCCATGGATGTGGTCTATGCCCTAAAGCGCCAGGGCCGCACTCTCTATGGCTTTGGCGGTTAGGTTTTGGCCTTGATTCCTGGGGTTAGTGATGTAAATTTTCATGGATCATGGCCCCTTGTCTTTCTCTCATCTTTTCTTGCTTTAGGCTTTCTTTTGTGTTGGGGGTTTGGTTGTTTGAGATGAAATTGTTTTGATTCAGTCATTTTGACGATGGAAGCAAGGATTCGTGGACTTTAAGTTGAATGAATACTAGATTGGAGGGCTTCAGTAAATTCAATTCGCTCTGAATTTGTGTTACTTAATTGTTGGAAATGGCCATTGTGCTTCCATGATACTTTTGTTTTACGGGTTTTGTATTCTTTAACTTGCAATTTGCTTCTTGTGATCACGGTTTCTTTAACGTCCTTTTACTCTGTTTTTTTTGAAATGCTAATTTCCTGCTATTTTTCTTTTCTTATGTGCTTTAATCGTTTTCTCGATGACTTTAATTTCCATCCTCTTAATGGAAAATCAAGGCATCTATGTTTTCTGTTTTTCTTTTCATGTGGGATGAGGTAAGATCCAACTACGGTTACTCTCTCTCGCACTCACTTTTTGTCCTTCTGCTCTGTCGTTTTTCTCTCTATAAAATTGATATGAATATTTTCTTTTTGGAACTCCTAAATGGACGACGACTTGATCTAAAGTCATTTTATAAAAGTACATATACTATGCTCCTTGATGCCACATCACTGAAACAATTTACTTCTCACTTAGTGTGACAATGTTTTCAAGTCTCACAAGCAAATGGAAAGAAGAAGAAAGTGGAAAAGAAACTTCATTACTGTACAAACTTAAAAGTACAACCTCTACTTACTGTGCAAACTTAAAAGTGCAACCTTACTGCATCACTTATGATAAATTAACATAAAAACTAATATACTTTCAAAAAAATACACTAACATTTTTAATAGATCGGATAGCAAATTTTATAAATATTTTAAAGCATTTGATCAAATTGGACTGAACCAATTGATATTTTAGATGTTCATTGTGATTTTAACTAAACAATCTTTAATTATTATTATTATTTTGGAAAAAGTACACTATAAAATTCAACAAACCCATTCATTTCTTCCTCGTTTTTGGATGGACATTTGTCAGATAGAGTTCCAAAACCTTGTTCAAGGATCTACTAGATGCGTAAATTGGTGTCATTGGATTGAATTGTGCATCACAAAGATTTCAAGTATTGAAATCACATTTCTTGACGCTATTTGAATATGTGTTTTATTTTGATTGTTTAGAGCCTCGGTTCTATATAAACGGCACCCATAATATGATAGATTGATGGAACTGTTATAGTGAATGAATTATTATATTGATTGCAATCATGTTAACATTGCCAGTTAAAATATTTTTTTATTTTGATGTCTATATTGATAAATGATAGCAACATAATTTCTTGATGATTATGGCCTCTTATAGATCCATGTCACTGTTATTGATTACATTTTAAACTCTACTTTGACTGTCAAATCAATGTAATGTACATATTATTGTTCAAAATCATGATAATCTATAATGTAAATCTCTCAAATTGTTTTGGATACTTCAAATATAGATTTTTTAAAAAAATTTGCTATTTTGTGAAATTTTTTAAACCCGTTTTTGCACGAGTTGGCCAATTTGCTGATCTGGGTTGTCGGTTTGCCGGTTTTGATCGGTTATTGACATGGGTACGTCACCTGGTGGATTCGTTTTTTAAATCACTCATTTTAACTATACACATCCTAGGTGCTGTTGGTGTTGCAGCAGAATGGATGATTGGATCTGTTGCTTATGAATAGTATCGCAATAGATGTGGTGTACTCACTTAAGAAATTCATAATGATTTAATAACAAAAAAATTTATATAAGGTTGTAACTTTAAATTGTAGAATTAAGGTGCAAAAGTCCGTAAAAAAAGACTATTTTGATGTTGGAAAACCTTTTAAATTGATCATCTTGACAAGGGATATCTAGAAATGAAAAACACACTGATTTTGAGCTCCAAAATGGCACATTTTACAATACATACTTTCGACTGTCTATTTTCAAGATTTTCATATGTTTATAGATCTATTTGATTTGAACCATTTTTGGAGTTTAAAATTTTATAGTTAGAGATGAAAATAGATTTTCAGATCCTAAGAATTTTTGAGCCAAAATTGAAAGTATATAATGAGACAATTTTCTTTTAGTGCAAGGTGGTCACAATTAATCTTGACCATTGGATCTTAAGAATTTTTTCGAAATTTGTAACACACCCAAGCTATCAAATTGTACGTCGGATGGTTGTAACCAGTGTTTAAAAACTCGTCGAGTCGAGCTGGACTCGCCCGGTTCGATACGGGAATCGTCCGCTACCGAACTGGTTCCACGAAATAGCGAATTGCGAGTGGCAGCCTCACGGGAGCAACACGTAGCACTTAAAATTCCTCCACACGTGGTAACTTACCTCATATGTCTGCCCCCTCGCGTTTCTACATGCGCAATGGAGTGTCTATTACATAGGACTTTATAAAGAACCAAGCGACACTCATCCTTCGATGTGAGATAATTCCCACAAAAAATTATTAAAGCAAGAAAATTGAATATATATTATTATAGAAGTTACTAAAATTATATTAAGCGATGTGGCCATGTTGGTTGACAACACCGATTTTTTGGTGGACGTCTAGAGTTCGAACCCCTTAACGCACAATAATAAATTTTTTGAGTTCGAACCCCTTAGCGCACAACAAAAAAAATTTGTTGTCAAAAAAATAAACGAAGGCAGAAAATACTGTTGTAAAAAAATAGAAAAAATATAAAATAAAAGGCTTTTCAAGATAAAGATAAAAAAGACAATACAACACTTTTTTTATTTTTCTTGTATAAAAAATACAATTTGTTGTCAAAAAAATAAACAAAGGCATAAAATACTGTTGTAAAAAAATAGAAAAAATATAAAATAAAAAGCTTTTCAAGATAAAGATAAAAAATATAATACAACAGTCTTTTATTTTTCTTGTAAAAAAAATACAAGGTAATAAAACAAGTATTTCTTGCAAAAAAATAAAACAAAAGGCATAAAAAAATAAAATATACATTGACAACATCATTTTTTTATTTTTCTTATAAAATAAAATAAAAAGTAATGCAACAAGCAAAAAAAAAAATGTCGTACAACATCTACTTCTTTTGTCAAAAAACGAAGAAGAAGATAATCAACAAGTATCATATTTTTCTTGTAAAAAAAAGTAAAAGATAACACAATAAGTATTTATTGTCAAAAAAATAAAAGGTATTACTTAGTACAACCTAGGAATAAATGGTCTAATTATATTTTTTATTTTTATAATATGATGGTCTTTAACATAAATTTAGTAATATTAATTTAAAGATAGGATTCATACAATGAGGCCATTTGAAATCTCTCTCTTTCTACTAACAATCTCTTCCACTAATTTATTCAGGAAACATAAATAATTAAAGAAAATTGGCATCCATTCTAATAATTTCTACATTGATAACTAAATCTTTTATTTTAATTATTAATTTTTGTATTATAAATCATGTAGTGTACTATTTTTCTTATAGTTGTCAATAATGCATCAGGAAAAACCCTTCACGATTTTTTGGACCTGAAATTTATAAGTGAAAGGTTTCTATACTTCTACTGTATACAAGACATATACTCCCTTCCCCCAATCTAGCCCTAATTTAGATCAAGTGACCATTTGATCTAGATCCAACGTGTCAATATGCTTTATTTTTTTTTTTATTTATACAAATTATATAAATATAAAATTTGGTATGTATCATCATCTCAATGAGATGCACCTAAAAAAATTATTTAAAAATTATTTTTAATAAAATACAATAACTAAAATACCCCTAAAATTTTAAGGGGCATTTTTGTCGCTTATTTTTATTGAGAATTTTTTTATATATTTTTTACACGTGCAAGTTTAAGAGAGGAGTGGACGTTCAAAATTTGGTGTCAAAATGTATTGTTTAAGAAAAATAAAATAGTATAGAGGCGTGACTTTGTGATTGGGGCCATTTCAACCGTCAATTCATAATTGATGGTTGGATAGGGGGAAGTATATAAATTTTATAAGTAGAAGAAATATAAAAAGCTTGCTAGAATTACTATACAAGTATTTTCAAAATAAAAAAGAAAATTAGATTTGAGTTCTTAATACTTATTCCAACAGTCCAAAACACGAATAATATATTTTCAATCTTATGATGTTATTTCTTTGTGGAAAATATATAAGGGGCATGAGTATTACTTTTGCTTTTTCATTTGAGGTTGGTCGATGTTGCATCCTCATATTTTGTGATTGCAAAATTATTCCTAACTAAAATTTAGCTCACGAAAGTGACTCTAGAGTGGGTGAGGTTCGTATAAGGTGTCCATCCTTAAAGATTCAAAGTTAGGTGCACCTCCGAATCTTGTTGGAAAATGCAAATTTGGTGTCGAAAATTTTACGATGGCCTCAAAATCCAATTTCATCTCTAATTATAAAATTTAAAATTTAATAAATAATATAGATTGCGCAAGTATATAAATACCTAAAAACCTTAAAAAATGGAAGCGCATTGCCTACACTTAAGCACAAACGTTGTGCCCGCGCACTGTGGAATTTGCATTGCGTTGCCCAAAACACATGTGGTCGAAGCACTACATAAGTGCACTTAGTACTTAGTCATGTGTATTGTGCACTGTGCACCACACAAATCATTCAATGTGCAAGATACATGTGCAAAACGTAACAATGTTGCCCCCACTTATGTTGAGCGTTGTGTGTCTGCACACCCTACAATTTGCACTATGTTCCCAAAGACACATACGCACAAAGCACTACATAAGTGCACTTGTTACTCAGTCTTACATGTTGTGCACCGTTCACAACAAAAATCAGTCAATATACAAAGTGTAGTCACGTTGGCTGTATGCACAACGTACAATTTACACTATGTTCCCCATAACACATGTGCAGGAAGCACTGCATAAGTACACTTAATATTAAGTCTTGTGTAGTGTTAGAGCAAACTTTTTTTTGATAAGTTTTCGAAGTGCACATCACTTCAATTCTATAAAATTAACACCTCATACAAAGTTTTTCCTTCTAAAATACGCTCCAGCTGGAATTGTTAGCCTCCAGTGGAGCATATACTAGTTTTGCCTCCATTAAATTAATCACACAGGGAGTTGGGTTTGATATGGTTTAGGTATACCATTCATATACATGCTGGACCG